GAGACATTAGAGATTAGAAAGACTAACAAGTTCAGATTCATTCAATGAGCAAAGCCATCTGATATCATCAATATGATCATTGCTCCCTGAACTCAATTTTCCTTCATCCATTCCTCTCTGTTTGTTCTCGTGAAACCCTCTCTTTTTCTAGCCCCTTCAGAAATTTCTGTTCATAATCACAACACAATTCATATTTAAGAAGATGAACATCTCACGCATGGAAGAAGTCACTCTCCACCGCCGGCACTATGGAGTAGTAAAGTTCAAACTTTGTTGTGTAAAAAAGAGAGAGTCACGTTTGATTGATTGAAGAAGGTAATTTTACTGAAGAAGAGTGAGAAAAAGATGGATTTCATAAATCTGAATCAAATTGCTATTCATATTTACCAGAACTTAAAAAGTAAAATCTGTGTAAAATGTTTTTAAAAAATGGTGCAGAATATTATTGAGATTTGAATTGAATACAAACATACATATATTTGTTCTCATCGGCATCTTCATCTCCTCCGCAAGCTTGACCCAAGAATTGGGGTTATAATGAGATAACTCATAGATGAGACTATTTAAAATTGACCGAGCACAGTTGGGACTATTTTCATAAACTTTTCCCTTTACTTAACTCTATAAGTCTATTTGGAAAAAAAATTAAGTTTAAGATGATAATTCATGAACTTTTTTTACTCATCTACTGCCAATACTTTGAGGTCATGTATTGATCCATAAGCTTTAACCTGTTCTAATTTGAACCAATACCTTGATATTTTAATGAAATAATATTATAATAAAATGACATTGCATGTTAATACAAAAATGATTTTATGAAGTTTATCTTCCAAAATCTTTCAAAAAAAATGTTTCATTGTATCCTACCCAAAAAAAAAATAACTGTGGTAGATGTTTCTTTTACTAGTATAATACGGAGTAAGCAATGTAATAATATCTCCATCATATTTCATGCTTCAATATAGATTATAGACATTAACATAACTAAATGATTCGGATTTCACACTTATCGAGTAATACTTGACAAGGAACTTTTAGTCAAAATTTTGAAATAAAAACATAAAATATACCTCCAAAGCACAATCTACAATATGCCTGCTTTTAAAATAATTCCCGTCTCTGTAGTACCCCACAGCCAGAAGGTATAGCTTTTCCCTTTCTTGCAGCGGAGTGCTACTTACACCCAAAGAAGCTGCAGGAGATGATATAAAATTACGTCTAAAAGGAGATATAGAAAAAAGGAACAATAATAGCTTGATCGACCCTTTGTAGAAAACACTTGAATAAAACAGTAATGGATATATAATTAACTGCTCATTTCATTGTGTTTTCCTTGATGCTTTTTTTTGGACAAGGAAAGAACTATGAGAGAAATTATAATGAGAAGAGAACGGATAAATTTTTAGTGATTCTAGGTTGAGAGAATTATGACTAAAGTGAAAGGGAGGGAGAAAAAGAGATGACTTTTATCAAAAAAGACAAATTTATCATTATTTTATAAAGATATTCTAAGGGAGAGGAAACATGGTAACTGCTCCAAGGTTTCTCTTTTGAGTTTTTTTGCGGGATCCACATCAACTATATCTTTCCTCAATTCTCCTTCCATCCAAACAACACCAAAATTTATTTTCTCACAAAATCCTTTCCGCTTAATTTTTTCAACCAGTTCGGTGGAAGACCAACAACTACAATAGAATTGCTTGAGAAGGAGATTAGTAGTAGGACCTAGTAAAATGAAATCCAATCTGTGAACTAAATTAAATTGTCGACGAGGGAGAGCTACTCAATCTCCCCTCTGATGACTTACCTTCTAGCATTCCAATGCCATGCTGGCGATCTTCCTGGCGCTTTGAGTGAACAAGAGCCCAAGATAAGCGCACAATGCATTCATTTTTGATAGTTTCAGAAGCACCTTTTTCAGCCTCTGCTACTTTGCGCTCACATCCCTGAAAATGCACTACAGTCTGTGTGGGGGAGAACTTGAAAATGGCTAACTAGAGGTTTTGTGCACAGGTTACAATCAAAATTGATATTGTAAAAGAGGACAATGCTGGAAAGAGTATTTTGGAACTGGAAAATAGTAGGATAATGCTGGAGAGAGTATAAAAATCAGAAGAAAAAAACAAAGTGCTATGAAGAGAAATTTGTAAACAGGCCAAATATGCTTCTTTTCTTTGTGTTTCTTTGTATTATGAGCATTTAAAAGTGAATTAAATGTACACCAATCATACTGAGTATCATGTTATGGTAAGTAGCAAAACATTTGAAATTTTGAAGAAAAAAATCATCATTAAAAAATTGAACTAACACCCCAAGGTGGGAACCAACAAACAAGAATCAACCACTGGCAATTTTCAAAAACGGAAAAGGGTTCTAACTCCGGAATTGATTTTCAACCTACAGGCAATATTAATGGGAAGTAGGAACTGTAGAACACATTATCCCAAGGTGGTATATGACACAAATCTGTCTACCAATGAAAGAAACTAAAACAATTCAGGTGCGCAAATTAAACCCTATTGCCAAGAAAGAAAACTATGTGGGATATTCAAAGCACAAAATTCATAGTAACACCTGAGTTTGATAGTTGAAAATTATTGTGTCGAATTTTGATTGAACTTAAATACGTGAATGCTAGAGTTACTGATCATGAAAACTTAGTAAAATGATGTGAAACCTTCAGGTGTTACTGAACATCACGGATACATCGGTTATTCAGGTTAGATGTTGTATGCAAGACAAGCTGCCCAATTTCTAAAGCCCTAATCCTGCGAATCTCATTTCTAAGGACATCTAAACCCTAGACAGGACATACAACTCAACTTGCTCATACAAGCAACATAGACGGAGAGGGTACTTACGGTGACGATATCGGAATCGCACAATGGAATCTGATCGCCGCCGGAGAAGATAAAATAGGTTTCTGATCTTTGCTTCCTTACGGGGGAGTATCATAAGGGTATTTGCTAGAAAAAAAATTAATAGAAATATGAAATATTTCAATTACAATATCAAGTAATTCTCTAGTAAATGACTCGAGTATTTTTTTTAAAACTGCACACAAATTGTTTTTATAAAATGGTAAATAACTTGATTAATTTACTTTGATAAATATTTAATGAAGATTTATAGGAAAAATAATATGATTTGATTTTGTGAATAGTTTTAGAAAGAACTTAAAACGTTTATAAAAAAAAGTAAAAAAAAATAAACATTATTATAAGAATATCAAAATCTTATTATAAGATTTCAAGAGTAATTTAGGGGGTGTATTCGATCAAAAGTTTGGAAGATTCTTTTAGATTTTAAAAATTAGTGGGTATTCAATTAAGATTTTAAAAAAGTATTTAAAATATGAGAATGTTCAATTTAGATTTTAAAAAGTAATTTAAAATCTAAAGGTATTGAATTTAGATTTTAACTTGTCTATTCAAATCTAATGGTATTAAATAATTTATAGGTTTTGAAAGATTTTTATTATATGTGAATTTTGATGGATTTTGAGGTTATTTTTTTAAAGAAAAACTATTTCACAAATCTTTGACAGCATTCAAAGATTTTAATGAATTTGGCTACCTAAAGGGGATGGCATCACGACTGAAGCTGTTTGATTGATTAGGCCTAAAAAAAATGGAGCCGGCCAAATGACGACCAACGAAACAACAATCAGCCGTCACTCCATTCCATCCTCTTTGAGCCCCTGGGGTAATTACACTTTGGCTCGGATGAGCTCAGGGCGGAGAAGAAGAAGCGGCGGGGATGGAGACGGAGAAGAAGAAGCGGGTTAGAGAAAGAGGAAAAAGAAGAAAAGGGATAGGTCTGATGGGGAGAAAGGTGAAGAAGAAGAAGATGATGATGAATGGGATGAAGAGGAAGAAGAAAAAGAGAGAAAAAGAAAGAAAGAAGAAAGAAAGAAGAAAAATAGAAAAAGAACATCAATACCTGTGAGTATGTGACAGGTAGAAAGGTGGAGAAGAAGGAAGGAGGGGAGGAAGAAAAGAAGAAAGAAAAAAAAGAAAGGAGAAAAAAAGAGAAGAAGGAACTCAAGAGAGAGAACTAGAGGATGAAAGGAAGAAGGAAAGCAAAAAAAGTAATCTATGGATAATAAGTAATGATACACAATCCTATAAAATTTTGCTAAACAATACATTATAATCTATTTAACTCTACGCCGACTTAAAACAATACAGTACATTGATTTTACATAATTCATAGATTCTAAATAATCTATCAAAATCTTTTAAAATCTGAATTGAATACACCCCTTTTAGTCTATGACATTCGCTTAAAAATAAGAGAACTAGTAGGGGGAATAAGTTTTGTAAACATGAGAGGTAACGATAAGGTATCGATGTAATAAACTCATTATACAAGAACGTATATATGTTTTTTTGGGATGAAAGCAGTAGAAGCAAAGAAGCACTTTTGATATTCTTTTGGATTCTATGTTTAAATTAATGGTATATTTGGGAATATGGATTTGGATTTCAAATCCGGATTTGGCTCAAATTCCATGTTTGGGAAATTTAAAAATTTTGATTTTAGATTTGAGTCAAATTCCTCTCATTCATAATAAAGCTTAATTTGAAATTCAAGATTTCAAATCTTGAAATTGAAATGCATGAATTGAAATGAAATACTAGTTGTCAAACACTACCTAAATGCTTTTCAAATGCAGTTCGATTATTTTGGCACCAAGGCCTAGTATCATAAGATGACAATAGTATAATTTGAAAGACTTACGGTGCAACTAGGGTGCAATGGGGCGGGGATGCGCTAGGGTAGGGGCCTAGGTGGACGAGTTTGGGGGATTATGAGTAGAACTAGCCTTTGAATCGAACGAAGCACCGTAAAGGCTTCAAATTGGGCTAGTGACGTATTATGGCACTAGCCCTTTGTGTCAAAATAACAAGGTATTTAAAAAAACAATCACAAACACCACAAATCAGTAAGTATTTCATGTGTGTCAATATGACTGTTTATTCTGTTCAGAAACTCATACACCATTTCTACTGTAGGAAATGATTGGTCATCAACAAAGAATGTGCATTTTCTCTGGTCAATCTCAATCCAGCTACAACCAGGGTTTTTCCTCAACCCAAGTTCTCTCATCTCCATTCATATATCCAACACTTTGCCCCATTGCTTCCTACTTGCAAACATGTTTTCCATAACCACACAAGTTGAGGGATCATCACAGTCTTTCTATATAAGAAGTTCTGCAACTTCCTCCCCTATACCTTCTTCTTCCCTATGCATATGGCAAGCAGAAAACAATGTGCTTAGCATCGAAACATCCTCTCTCATGGAAGGTGATCTCTGAAGAATTCAGTACGCTTCTTTCAATCTTCCAGAACGTGTCCAGGAGACAAGAATAGTCTTTAATCTCGGGTTTGATTCCATAACTAATTACCATTAGGTTAAAATAGTGGCAACTTCGGCAACTAATCCCGCGTGGCTGCAAGCTGAAACCATTGCAAGGAATGTGACTTTGTCTGGTTTAACATTACACTGTTGGAGCATTTCATTGAAGAGGCGTAAAGCTTCAACTGCTTGGCCGTGGGACCCATAAGCCACGAGCATAGAGGTCCACAATACAATGTCTCTCCAAGGAAGATGGTGGAACACTTCAAGAGCTTCATTCAAGGCACCACACTTAGCATGCATATCAAGGAGTGCTCCCATGACTATTTCACTTGAATCCAACTTTTGTGCAACAATGCTCTTGTGAACTTCTCTCCCAATATCTAGTGCAGCTAATTGTGTGAAAAAGCCACCAATACACTGGTGAAAGTAATCGCGTCCGGTTTTATGTGTCCCGCCATCTTCATGTCACTGTAGATGCCAAGGGCCTCCAAGTAATTTCCAAATGATATGAACCCAGAGACATTGTGTTCTCATCCCCTTTTGGGGTTGTAATGAAGACTTGTTTGGCAGCCTCGACGCTTCCACATTTGAGGTATAGATCGATAAGTATGCATTGAAGAAATGTGCCAGTTTCTATTCTGTGTCTGATGATGTAAGCGTGAACAAATTTTCTGTGACACAGTTGGGCTGATCTGAAACAAGCAGATAGCAAGCTGCTCAAGGTTGTCAAAGAAGGTTTCATATCTTCACCATTCATCCTCTGCAGAAGGCAAAAGCAAGATTCACTGTCCCCTTTCAAACTGTAACCCGAAATCAAGGCATTCCAAGAAACCAAAGTCTTGTTTGGGATTCATGTAAATACATCTTCTGCCTTCTCCATATGACCACATTTCCCATACATGTCCACAAGAGCAGAGGCAACGAGCCCATCAAAGGCAAACCCGTCATTTGCCAGCTCTTCATAGATCTTCTCTCCCTGTCCAAATGAAGAAGCCTAGCACAAGAAGATATGGCAGCCGTGTACGACACAGAATTCAGCTTGTACCTAGACTCCTTCATCTTCTCAAACAGCTCCAATTCCTTGTCCCATTCCCCAGCCTGGTAATACGATGAAATAAGAGTGTTCCAGGCTTCCAGCAAGCCACATCTCTCAGGGGAATTTCATCGAACACCTCATCCGTGGCAGATCCAAAGTTGCCCCCTTTGGCATACATTCCCACCACAGAGCTCGCCACAACAACATCAGACAAAAACCCAGTCCTGATCACGCGACCATGAACACTCCTTCCGTACACCGCGTCGTGGCATCCCAGACCCCCACACGCCTTGAGAACACTGGGATAAGTGTACCCATCAGGCTTGAGAAAAGGGGATAAGAGTAATAATTTGCGAAAGAGCTGAAGAGCTTCGGTGAAGACGGAGTGACCCGTGTAAGCCGCCATGAGACCGTTCCATAGAGTGATATCAAGAGGGTTCTTCAGATTCAGGAAAACCAGCTTCGTGGATCAGAAATCTTAAGAAGCCCCGTACATATCCATGAGCCCCTTTGATAATGGGATGCTGCTGTGCTAGCCCATGGTGATGGTTTTCTGGTGCAAAATCTTGATTCCTTGTTTTGGTAATGGCGTCTTCGAACTCCCTCTATCACATACTACCTCGATCCAGCAGTGAAACATGGGACATTTATTTATTTTTTAATAGGGATTCAAGGGAGTGTATTTTGGTATTGAATTTCCAAAAATGTCTTTTGATGTGATGAGTAAAAGTATGATTTGATGGATAGATTATTAGTAAAAATGTATGATGTGATAGTTAGGGTATGAAAAAGTAAGAGTAAAAGTGACTTTTTAATAGAAATGAGAAGTGTTTTGTGGGACGGATAAAAAAAAAAGGGAAATGTTTCACGGGACGGAAGTAGTATCTTTTTAGTGTACTATTCCAATTTTAGGAAAACTTTTATTTATTTTTGTTTTTTCATGGCCTATATTATAAAATAAAAATATTCTCTTCATTACTTATTTTGTTAAACTTTGGACCTAATTTTTTAATATTTAAATTTTATTTTTATTTCTCTACCAATATTAAATAAAATAAATTAAACTTTTTCATCTTTCTATATACAATGGTAAGAGGAGCTTATGAACAGTGTCCCCGCCATTTTCTCCTACAACAGTTGGGCCGGACTGGGCTGCTGTTAATGTGCCGATTTTACTGCTTTTCTCTTGGGCATGCTGCTAACAGCTTTATGGGGCTACGGTGCATCTTTATGGGGCTGCGGTAAGCTGTGCGTGGCTCGATAAAGTAAAGTAATAATTCTTTATGTGGAAAAGAGCCATATCAATGCTTTCCATCTAATCAATTAAATAGAAAGATTTACACAATTTTTCGGGAACAAAAATTTAGTGGTTCCATAAAGTTATTTTTAGTGGTTCCATAAACTTGCATTGGAGAAAAAAATTGAGTGGCTCCATAAAGTAAATGAAAAAATAACTTTGTGTCAAATCCAACATTATATCCCATACCAATCTCACAAATCCTAATAGTATAAATAATAAGTCATTCTCTGATTCACCAACACCACAACTCCTCACATTCCCACTTTTCTATTTCTCATTCTATCTTTCTATTTCTCATTAAGCATCTAGCTCTCCACAACAATGGTGTTTCCTTCTTTACATTTTACATACATACATACATACATGCATGCATACATACATGCATACATACATACATATATATATATATATATATTGTAGCCACATACCACATGTGTATATATATATATATATATATAATAGAGGTTCATATTTTTTAATCTGGTTTTAAGTTTGAAGCAATATAAGAAACAGAACCGCCATGGCTGCAACAACGGGGTTAATTCCGTTACGCCACGCCAAGATACGTTTATTTTTTTATGCCTCAAACATTAAAATCCTAAAAATTCACCATAACATATTTCAGTCCTTCCATATCATCACATCCCTATATTTAGACACACTCCGATGTTGGGACCTGTATTACGTTAGTACGGAGTAATAATTATATATATAATATAATATATAAAATAAGTATATGTATATTAATACCCTGGAACAACAAGGGCAAGTGATATAAGCTAATGGCAGCACGGTAATTAGTGCCACAAGCTTAATTATAAAGACTAGAAATATGATACTAGAGAGTAATATTTATTTAAAAAAATCAGAAATATTAATGCATGCTTCAGTTTCTTGAAAAAAAATGAAGAGATATAATACAAAACCATACATCTATAATTTTTAAAAGTGATTGCAACTATGCATGCTTTAGTTACTAAAAAAAATTAAGATATATACTTTAAAACGATAGATCTATTTTTTACATATTTCTCCGATGCATGCGCTTTTTTAAAAATAAATCAACATATCTAATATGAAACCATAGATTTATATTCATTTAAATAGATTGCTTTCAAGCCCCGTACAGTTTAAGTTTAAAATTCCAATAGATCTTACTTTAAAAAGTATTTTTGAAAATAATATCTCATATATAGATATATTTAAAAATGCATGCATGTCTATAACCCGGTAGATCTATCAATTTGGATCAGAAATTTTTAACATTTAACAAGTAAGATTAATGAATAACAAACAGATCTAGGGTTTCATATTAAAGTATGAAAAAAGGTAGATTTTTCAAAGCCAAAGCTACAAGGAGACAATTTTGACACTGAATTGAATACAATTACCCGAAAAGGAAGGTTTTTGCCGGAGACAGAATACACAAAATCACATCGCCGCCAGTGATTTTACAATCACACAATTGAGATACATCACACGGCGTGTATCGACGACTGAAGTCGTGGAATTAGAGGAGTAGTAATCGCCGGAATATTTGGAAGCATCCCCATCGAAACATCTAGAGAGATGGAGAAGACGGCGAGCGGTGAGAGGCAATAGTGGAAAATGAGCGGCTAGGTTAGGGGGGAGTTTATATATTTTAGGTATGGGTTGGGTTTGGGTGGTTTGGGCCGAATATAACGGCCCAATCTTTTTTTTGGGTTTTCAATTACAATTTATATTAAAAAATAAATTACTTTTAAATAAAAAAATAGTGTATGAATTATACTTTTAAATGCTACATTTTGAAAACATAAATTTTTGAGAAATCGAGAAAAAAATGTGTGGCTCAAGGTAATCTTTATGTCTAATCGAATAAAAAAAGATTTAACAAATGCATGCATCTAATGTGAAGAGTTGAATGTATAGCTATAAAGCTGCGTGCTTCATCATTACTCTTTATGAAAAACGAAAAAGTAAAAGTTTGAAACATTGATGCTTTATGTTTTTGAGAATCGAGAAAAAGAAATGTGTGGCTCAAAGCAATATCAATGTCTAATCGAATAAAAGAAAAGGTTTAACGAATATAAGCATTTAATGTGGAAAGTTGAATATGCAATCATAAAACTGCGTTCTTCATCGCTACTCTTTATGGAAAAACGAAAAAGCAAAAGTTTGAAAAAAGCATGCTTTATGTTTTCGAGAATCGAGAAAAAGGATTGTGTGGCTCAAGGCAATCTTTATGTCTAATCGAATAAAAGAAAATATTTAACAAATATATGCATTTAATATGGAGAGTTGAATGTGCAGCTATAAAACCGCGTGCTTCATCATTACTCTTTATGAAAACTGAAAAAATAAAATTTTAAAAAATGCATGTTTCATCATTGCTCTTTATGAAAAACTAAAAAAAAATTAAAAGCTTAAAAATGCATGTTTTATGTTTTCGAGAATCAAGAAAAAGAAATGTGTGGCTCAAGACAAATTTTATGTCTTATCAAATAAAAGAAAAGATTTAACAAATATATGCATTTATTGTTGAAAGTTGGACACGTAGCCATAAAATCACGTGCTTCATCATTACTCTTTATTAAAAACGAAAAAGCAAAAGTTTGAAAAATGCATGCTTTATCTTTTCGTGAAAAAGAAATGTGTGGCTCAAGACAATCTTTATGTCTAATCGAATAAGAGAAAAAATTTAATAAATATATGTATTTAATGTTGATTGCTGGATGTGTAGGCATAAAACAACGTGCTTCATCATTACTCTTTATGGAAAAACGAAAAAAGCAAAAGCTTAAAAATGCATGCTTTATGTTTTTGAAAATTGAGAAAAAGAAATGTGTGGCTCAAGGTAATCTTTATGTCTAATCAAATAAAAGAAAAGATTTAACAAATATATGCATTTAATGTGGAGGGTTGGATGTGTAACTATAAAACCGGGTACTTCATCATTATTTTTATGGAAAAACGAAAAAAGCAAAAACTTAAAAAATGCATTATATTTTCGAGAGTCGAGAAAAAGAAACGTGTGGCTCAAGATTTAACAAATACATGCATCTAATGTGGAGAGTTGGTTACCCCTTACTATATGCTATTTATACTCATGAAAATTTAGTTCTCAGTCATAGTTAGCTTAGCTATACCTAAGTCACTTTTTGTGTTACCAAACATAGATTTTGGTTTCTATGTTCAACTGCGGACATAAGTTTTATATCAAGACAATAGCTTGAATACAAAAATTAAAATCATTGTTTCAAACCTTTGTTTTTTAGTGTTAGAAATTACTATTGGTTAACTCAATAACTTATGAATATTAAATACGCAAGAATATCTTGAAATAATTTGTTTCCAAGAAAATGTGTATATTCACATAAAATTTATGTCCAGTCCGTGTTCGAAAAAAAAAATTGAGTCATTGCCTATTATATATTTCTATCTCTGTTCCTAAGTTTTTGTCTAGGTTTGACTTTTTTTTTGTTATGTATTTTTAACTTTTGATCTATTATTAAATATAATATATATTGTATTTTTATTAGATAAAGTAATATTTTGATAATATTTTATATTATAAATCTAATAAATTTATTTTAAGATGTGACAAATATGATAACGAATTTTTTACGGTGCAACGCACAGGTACGAAAATTTTTTGAGCTATTGCCTATTAGATATTTCCATCTCCTTCCCTAGGTTTTTATCTTGATTTGACTTTTTTGGTCAATTATCTTCAATTTTTGACATATAATTAAATAAAATATAAATTACATATTAATTAGATAAATCAATTTTTTGACAATAATTGATATAATAAATGTAATAAAACTATTTTTGTATCAATATCTAATACCATTTTTTTAATTTAAGGTCAAAATTTACTAATCGCAATGGATTAAAGATTTTGATTTGTGGTGAAGATTCTGCGGCATCTAATAAAACCGCAAATGTAGTCTATAAAGAAGTTTTCTGAAACTCATTATGTTATTTTATCACATCTTGTTGTAAAACTTCTCCTCTTTAATATATATTACGTATCTTTGTTTAAAGCAAATTTTATCTTTTACTTTTATCAATGCTTCCCTTATTTATTTAGCTTTTAACTCAGACTGTGCAACGCACGGGTTCGAGTCTAGTTTTGTGCAATGAAAAGAAAAATATAAGAGGGAGAGAGTTACTTAGAGACTAACGATGCAATTTGTTGAGATATTTTTGATTAAATAATTGAAACAAAAAAAAGAAAAAAAAGGGTGTAGCTTGGTGGAAACAACCAAGAAGTGCAGGAGAGCCTTTAGGAGTTTTGTCTTCTTCTCTTAGAAGGTGTGAGCTAGATTATTCTCCATTATTGTGTATTTGGCTATTTAAAAGCCATGCAACAATACCGTAGGGAATGAGTGAGAAAAAGGAGAGGAAGGTTAAAGAGAGAGGTGTTACACAAGATATCACCAATATTGTGTGAGTGAGTGTAGGGAGTAACTATTATTTAGTTACTCGGAAAATACATCCGGGTGTAGGGTGTGAAAAGTCTGTTTATAAGTGTCTGGTATTTAGCACTTGTAAACAGGGAGAGTTTTTTGTGTATCGTTCTGAAATAGTGAAGATATAATTTTTTTCTCATATATTCTCCTTGTGTTTGTTCTCTCATTTTTCTGGTGTTCTCAATATTTTTCGGTATCTTACGCGCTTAAAATCCCAACAACTGGTATCAGAGCCTGGTTACATTTGGGGCAGAGGGATTTCTAAGCGGTAAGAGAAGAAAGTCGAGAACTTGAAAAATGGCATCGGTAAAAAGTTCGAATGTTTCCGTTGAACCTTTCGATGGACGTGGCGATTTTACTCTGTGGCAACAACGAGTAAAAAGTGTTCTTACTCGGGAAGGGACAATCAAAGCTCTGAAGGTGAAGGTTCAGAGGACAGAAAAAATGACGGATGCTGAGTGGGCCAAACACCGGAAGAACGACAAACCGGAAAAATTGTCGGAAGAAGAGTGGGAGGATTTGAAGGACATGGCAACAAGTACAATATGCCTATGCCTTGCAAATAATACTCTTCGGGAGGTTCTCGGTTTGACGGACCCGGTGGATATTTGGGACAAGCTGGAGAGCCAGTACAAGTCGAAATCGTTGACAAGTAGGCTATACTTGAAGAAACGATTATTTGGTCTCCAAATGGCGGAGGAAGCTAACTTTAATGGGCACTTGGATGAATTCAACAAGATTACAACAGAGTTGGAATC